TTCGTCTTACTTACTTTGGACATATTGCAAGAAGGGATCAGTCCTCGGAGGGGGACGTCATGCATGATAGCTCAGGAGAGGAAGACCCTTGATGAGATGGATTGATTCATTGAGTAAGGTAATGGGGGTGGGTATTTTAGAGACAGTAAGATTGGCACAGTATAGAGCAGGGTTTATGGCTGTTGTACATAGAATCCCTATGAATCGCAGGCAACTAGATGGAACATAACAACAATAGCATGCTCACAGTATATGAGATGAAGCTCTGCCATCCTTGCCCCTTAGAAGCACCCTGGCTGCACTTTCTCTACAACAGACCTGCTTGTTCTTTTGGCAGTTCATAGATATTCATTACTTTTCTCCAGCATCACAGCTCTGAGGCATCAATTTTCCCTCTGTCATCTTTATTCATTGCCAACTCTCAGATGAATAGCAGGTAACTGGAAAAACTATGGCTTGAATAAGGCATGCCGTAGTCCTTGAACTGACATCCTTGTTCACCAGGACTTTGGAGAAGTCCATGAGAGCAGACTTTCCAGTGTTAATAATTATTGGTAGTGAGTAATGCTTCTACGAACATTGGTGTACAAATCTCTGTTTATGCCTCACTTCTCATTTTCTCAGGGTATATTCCAAGTAGTGGAATAGCTGGGTCATATGGAATTTCTATGTTTAGCTTTTTGAGGAAGTACCAAATTGCCTTCCAAAATGATTGTACCATTTTACAATCCCACCAACATCCTCTCCAACATTTATTACTTGCTGCCTTGTTAACACATTGCCGCAAATGACGGCCAAAAAAAATGTGTTTCTAAAGTATGGTCTCAATTTAAAAGTGTGTGGCAACGTGTTAAACTTTGCCAAATTAAACAAGTTAAACAGGCCAAATGTCCAACCACAAATAAATGGATTGAGAAATTATTCACACAGTGGAATACTATGCAGCACACAGGAGCAGTGACTTTGTAAATTATTACCTAACTTTGGAGGGACTGGAGAGCATTATATGTTGAGTGAACTAAGTCAGTCCCACAAGGATAAATATTGCATAAAACCATTATTTTAGAATGAATATGGGGATCCAGGAGGGGTGGGAGAGTTTGGAAGCAGAGGGATGAGGATGTGCAGGAGGCCGGGAGATTAATCATAGGGTTATACAGTTTGTTGGGTAGGGGTGAGGGAAATGGAAAGAATTTGTTTTTGAAAAGAATGTGTTTGAATTTTGTAAATAAACTAGTAGAAAATGTTTTAAAAATGATATTTACAATGAATAAATAATTGTAAATACAAAATAATAATTATTGCTAGCTAGATGTTTTTCTCCATTATGTGTCTGTGAAATTTGTTCCTCCCATTACAGTGGGAGCTGAGTGGACTGACTAGCTCAGCTGTACCCAAATGGTTGAGAGGACAGGCCTTTTGAACGGTCATGAACTCTGGGCTCTTCCAACACTCTTGCTAGTTTCTTTGGAGAAGTGCCCTGACTTAAAATAAACAGTAGGTTGCCTGTCCCTGGAAGAGCTATGCCTGTCTCCCACTAGCATAGCTCTACCCATCACCTGGCCTTCAGCTCATCTTTTTAGCCCCTCTTTTTGCTCAAGTTCTTTAAATTTGTTGACTGCAAGCTTGAATCCCAAATTAGCTGCAGAATCCCTGTTTCAGACCTGTTATTCAGTGATGTCCCCTCTTTGTTACCTGTCACCACATTCCTCTTCAACTTCTTCTGTGGATTTGGTGGGGTCTCTTACACCTGACCTCCACTTGATTTCTCGTCATTGTTTGGGGTTTGATACATTCTGTGCTTTGTTTCCATGGAAGGTAACTATTTAGTTACAGCTTTATATATCTGGAATGAAATCTTTTGTCTTGTGTTCTTTATTAGCTGATTTTGTTTATGTCCCTTAGTGGAGCCAAGCAAGCTGAAGCTGTTAGCAATCTCAGTCTCTTCACTGTGTATCATGATGCTTTCAATTGTCCGCCTACCTAGTACTTTCCTAATTGTTTTCCTTCCCTTTGTCTTACAAAAAAGGATTTAGTTTTTCACATAGAAAATCCTAAATGTAGCTACTTGAACATAAGATTCTTCCTTCTCCTCCTTTTTATGAATGGTTAGACTAGTTCAACTACAATATCAGATTTCATTAGAAAACATTTAACTCCATTTTTAATTATTGAAACTTTGTGGCGTTGTTTTTGATCATTTCATAAATGTGTAATGAAGACTTAGAATGTGCTAGCTTGTTTTGAGTCACACATGTATTGGTAGAAAGACTTCTTCCAAAAAGTCTGTTTATGACTTACGCAAATAATAACTTAAAAAATTTATTATGATAGTGAAAGTTTATAAATCATACTGAATTTTTATTCACTCATAACATTAATTGCTTTTAAAGTAGTAATCTGATTACAGGGCATGTTTATATACTTTGGGTATATTATATTACCTTTAACTTGGTTCAACTTTCCTATTTGTTAAGTTTTACCCTCCTCTCCCACCCCCTTTCCTTCCCTGGTAACCATTCAAGAATGAATCTATCTATGTGTAAGCCTTTCCTTAATTTTTTTTAAGTAAGATTTTATACTAGTTTACTTACAAAGTTTGAATACAGTGTTTTTCACATCAGATCTTTCCCATTTCCTTTACCCAACCCTTCCCTCTACCCATCAAATTGTGTGAACCTATGTTTACCTCCCCTGCCATCCTCACCTCTTTGTTCCTACTCTTCCCCACTTGGATCCTCATACATGTTTTACTAGTTATCTATTTCTACAATAATAGCCTTATACAGTATTTGTCCTTATAGGACTGAGTTAGTTCATGTTCTCTAGTGCCTCCCATGTTAGGTAGCAACTTTCAAAATTATTGTTCCTGCCTGTATGCTGTGTGGTATTCCATCATGTGAATGTACTGTAATTTCTCAATCCATTCCATTGTAGTTGGACATGGGCTTTTTCCATGTTCTTGCAATGATGAATAATGCTGCTGTGAACATTGGTATACAAATCTCATTTTGTGCCTCAGTTCTAATTGAGAAAATATACTGAGAAAGTATATTCCAAGCAGTGGAATATGGAATTTCTATGTTCAGCTTTTTTATTTTCCTTAATAATGGTCTTAATACAGTCATTGTCTTTTTTGTGACTTCTTATGTCACTTGACATAATTTCCTCTAGATTCAGTCATGTTATTTAGTGTTAAATTAATTTTTTTATCCTTTGTTAGAGTCTCATGGTATTTCATTGTGTTAATGTATCATAGCTTCTTTAACACTTAGGTTGTCTATGTACAGTAGCTCTGAAGCCTGCCCTGTCCTGAGCCATTCTCACTGACTCCAACACACCTATCCCATGCCCTAGTTACAGTATCAATCCATCTCATCCAGGGTCTTCCTTTCCTGCACTGTCTCTCCACCCTGCTGAGCATGATGCCTTTCTCTAAGGTTTGGTCCCTCCTGGCCACATGCCCAAAGAATGTGAGACAGAGCTTCAAAATCCTAGCTTCTACGGAGAAACTTCATTTCACTATCTCCATGACAGATCAGTTTGTTTTCTTGGTGGTCCATGATATTTTCAATACTCTTCTGCCCCACCATGATTCAAAGGCATCCACTGTTCCTCTATCATCCCTAAGTTATTGTCCAGCTTTCTGATGCAGAGCAAGTAATATGGACTCGAACATCTATAAATAATGTTGTGGTAAATTTTTAACTCACTGCCTTCAAAATGGTTTGCACTCTTTCTTACTGTCCCATTGAACTTGGCTATTATTACTGTTTGAAGATTAGTATTCTTGATGGTTTCATTTTACTTGAATTCACAATCAGCACCTCTGTTAATGTCAGCCAAGAAATCAGAAGACATGTTGCACTGGGAAAATGTGTTGTTAAGAGTTTCTCCAAAGTTCCATAGATCAAGGCATTAGTTTAAAGACTAAGGTGCAGCAGATCCAGTCTATGGTATTTTTACTTCTTATGCATATGAAAGTTGAACAGTGAATAAGGAAGATTGAAGAAGAATCAATGCCTTTGAGTTGTGGAGTTGGAGAAGAGTATAGAATATCTTGTTGTTGTATATTGTATAGTTGGAGCCAACCCGTAGCTGACCCTCCTGTGTGTTTGCAGAGACAATTAATCACACTGGAACAGATTGCCCATCCTTCTGACCTGTAAAAAGAAATATATTTATTTTGGAAAAAGTGCAACCACAATGCTTCTCAGAGGCAAGGATAACGAAACTTCAGCTCATAGTCTTTGGCAATGTTATCAGGAGAAGCTGGTTCTTGGAAAAAGACATCATTCTGGGAAAGTTTGAGAATCAGTGAAAGAGAGGAAGACCCTTGACAAGGGCTATTTGACAGTGACAGCAGCAGTGGACATGAGCATGGCAGAGATTGTGAGGATGGCACAGAGAAGACAGGGTTTTCTTCTGTTGTTCATAGGGTAACTAAGACTCGTAATTGACTCCAAGGCATCCCACAACATCGTTGTTGGGAGTAAGCTGATATCTTTCTCATAACATTGCTGATATCAGATGGATCTTAGCTGGAGAACAGGACAGGGAATACCAAAAAGATGTTTATTAATGGTTTGTTGATTATGCAAAGACATTTGACTGTATGGATAACATTGAAAAGAATGAGAATCTCAGGACTCTTAGTTGTGCTCATGAGAAACCTGTACCTAATGGAAGAAGCAGTTGTTGGAACAGAACAAGGGAACACTGCATAATGTAAAATCCATATGCATCAGAGCTGTATCCTTTATCAATACCCATATAGTCTGTGGCTGAGCAAATCATTAGAATAGCTGGGCTCTTGGAGGAAGAATATGGCATCAAGGTTGAGGAAGACACGTCAACCACCTTGCTGTAAAAGAAGCAAGGGCTTCTTTTTTCTAAACTGTAAATTCAAGTACCTTGGACACCATTATTCCCTTCCCTGTTTTCCAGAGCACTGGTTATCACCCTCCCAGGTGAACTGACTTTGTCCTATTATGGTGTAGGTGTCAGTGGACCTCAACAGTGACTCCATCCGAGTGGTGGTACTGGAGGAAAGTGGGGTACGTGTTCTCATGGAAGGAAAACTCACCCACAGAATCAACACTGAGAGTTCATTTTGGAGCCTTGAGCCAGGAAAATGTATTTTGGTAAGTATATATCCTTTTTTTATATGTGTATGGGGAGCTTCCAGATCAATAGACCAGTAATTAATTCTAGCAGTTGAGCACAGATACATTTTATCCGTTTGCCTACTGCACACATTATAAGATTGATGGAGAAAAGATTGAAACTGTTAATAACTTAATCTCACCAGGATGTACAATAAATACACTTGGCACCAGCAGTCAGGACAATGTATTGCATTGGAAAGTGTGCAATAAGGGACTTCTCCAAATTTCTGAGGAACAGTGATGTTAATTTGAGGACTAAGGAGTGCCTGATTCAAATCATAGTCTTTTTGGTCACTTGCAGCTGGAGAGTGATTCAGGATGACAGGGGAAAAAATTGATGTCTTTAAGATGACTTGGAGAAAGCAAAGCCAGATTGCTTCTTGGAAGCAAGGACGCCGAAGTTTCATCTCACATACTTTGGGCATGTTGTTAGGAAAGGCTCCTTCCTTGGAGAGAGATGTCACAAGTTTCACAGAGTCCGATCATATCAACTTGGTTCCAGAGTGTAGCCAGATGGCATTATCACTCAAAGCTGAGGGAGTGGGGCTGCCATGCTCAGAGAAAGAGAATGAATGCTGCCAGGCAGAGGTAGGGTCTCAGTTTAGTTGGATTAGAAGAATGGGACTGCTCTTAGCTGAGTAAGCAGAGTTACTCCCACAATAGGCCTGAAATCTCAGCATCAGAATCAAATCCCAGGATTTGGGGCCCTTCTCCCAAAATCTAGAGAGCACGGTCAGCATCCAGAGTCTGGAGGGCTGGACCACAGCGTAGATGGTCTCAGAGAACAGGACTTTTTTCAAGCCATGAAAACTACTGCATATTAATCTGCTGGGTATTTGACCAGCTTGGTGCTCATTATGCCAGCCTTCCGTTCAATTTCTTCTATGTGTAAGAAAATGGCTGCTTTCTTGTTTGTTGTACTACTGCACTTTGGAAGCAGAAAACTTGTATTCTGGATTCACAGAAGTGAAATTTTGCTACAGAGTAGAATTTAGATAGGGCTTGATTTTAGACTGGGATGATGCAGTGGCATGAAAGGGTTTTACATATGGCAAAGTCCTGAATCTTTGGGGGAATCAGATAGGACAGTGTTATGGAATTGAATTGTGTCCCCTCAAAATATGTACCAAGTTAGCTGGACCATCATCCTCAGTGTTTTGGATGTTATTATTATGTGTCGTCAAGTCGCCTGCCACCCATAGTGACCCTATGTACAGCAGCTCTGAACCCTTCCCTGTCCTGAGCCGTTCTCATGATTCCAGCAAAATAACCCCCATTGCCCTAGTTAGTGTATCAATCCACCTCATCCAGGGTCTTCCTCTCCTGTGCAGTCCCTCCTCCATTCCAAGCATGATGTCCTTCTCCAAGGACCAGCCTCTCCTGGCCATATGCCCAAAGTCTATGAGATGGAGCTTCAAAATCCTAGCCTCCAAGGAGAAACTTGGTTTCACCCTCTCCAAGACAGACCTATTTGTTTTCTTGGCAGTCCATGGTATCAAGACTCTTGTCCAGCATCACAGCTCAAAGCCATCTAATTCTTCTTCTGTCATCCTTAGTCATTGTCCAGCTCTCTGAAATATAACAAGTAATTGCAAAGACTGTGGCCTGCATTAGGCACACCTTAGTTGCTAGACTGACAGCGTTGCTTTTCAGCACTCTGGAGAGGCCCCTGACAGATTTTTCCCAATGCAATTTGTCTTTTGATTTGATTTCCTGACTGCTGGTTAAGAGTGTTGATTGTGGAGCCCCTCTACTTCCCCTTTGGACTTTTTATACACGTCTTACTTATCCTTCTGTTTTTACAATAATGGTCTTATGAAGTGTTTGTCCTTATGAAAATCAGTTAGTTCCGTCAGCATAATCTCTCCCATGTTAAAGTATTTTTTTAATCATTATTCCTGAGTGCTGCATAGTTTCCATCTTGTGATCGTGCCACAATTTCTCAATCCATTTGTTTGTTTTTTTGATGGACATTCAGGCTATTTTCATGTTCTTGTGATTGTAAATAATGCTGCTATGAACAAAAGAGGAGGAAATTGAGAATTTCTGCTAACTTGCTGACTATTGTTACAAACAGAGCAAGGAAACACTACTTGGGTTTAAAATCAGGAAAAGATGTACATCAGGGTTATATCCTTTCTGTAGACTTACCCAGTTTGCATGCTTAGCAAATTATTCAAGAACTTGGACTTTATGAAGAGGAATATAACATTGGGATCAGAGGAAGACTTAACAAACTGTGTTATGCAGATAATACAATCTTGCTTGCTGAAATTGAGGAGAACTTGAAATGCTTGCTACATTTATTGAAGGACTTCAGTATTTAATACAAATTGCATCTCTGTTCAAGAAAACAAAAATCCTTAACACTGGACTGATAAGCAACATCATAACTGCTTAAGAAGGGATTGAAATTGTTAATGATTTCATCTATAAGCAACACCCTTGTATCAGTAATCAGGAGATGAGGAGACATACTGCATTTGACATGTCCGCTGCCAGAATCTTTCCAAAATACTGAAGAGCAGTGATGCTAGTTTGAACATTAAGGTGAGCCTGATTCAGGCCATGGTCTTTTTCATCCCTTGCTATACATGTGAGAACTGATTGTTTAATAAGGATGAAAGAAGAATAATTGGTGACTTTTAATTATAATGTTGAAGAAGAGTACTGACTTTCCCATGACTGCCTGCCATATGTTTTGGAAAAAGTACATCCAGCATAGTAATTGGAAGCGAAGACTGTGAAGCTACTTCTGACATATTTTGGGATTGTTACTAAAAGAGGCTATTCCTTGGAAAGGTAGAGGGTAAGTGAAAGACAGGAAGCTCTCTATGAGATGGAGTGATACAGTCACTTGAATGAGGGCTCAAGTATGTAAAAATTGGTGAGGATGGCACAGGATAGGACAAGATTCTGATTGGTTCATAGGATCACCATGAGTTGTACTCAGTTTGATGGCTTCTAACAGCAACAACATTCCTTGGAAAAAAGACATCATGCTTAGAAAGATGAAAGGTCATAGCAAGAGAGGGAGATTGACTGACACGATGACTGCAACACTGGGCTCAAGTGTTTCTGAGGTGATAAGGATGGCACAGGATAGGACAGCCTTCTGATCAGTTGTTCATAGGATCTCTGTGAGTCGTACTCCAGTTGAGGGTACCTAAGAAGAAGAACAGCAACTATTCATTTTTTTTATTATTATTATTCATGTCAATGAACATTTATAGAGATTTTGGATTTCCATTCATTCATTGTTGCACTTTTCTCCCCACCCCCAGTTCGCTCTTCTCTTTCAGAAGTAAAAGAAAAATTCCTTCATTGGTATACATTCTGCAGCAAGTGCTTCAAGTCCTCTTCTCTTTCTGTTAACACGTTGTCGCAAGTGACTGTAATACATGGGGGCACAGGGGTGGGGGTGGGGGTAGAATGTGTTTCTAAGCATGGTTGTCAATTTAAAAGTGTGCGGCAATGTGTTAAGCAAGATTGCGTCAATTGCGTAATACAAGTTTCCTGATGTCACATTGTTCTTCATGTAGTCCAGCTTGTGGAATGATTTACTTAGTATACATACTGAATAAGTATGGTAAAAAGATATAGCTATATCTCATGTCTTTCCCGATTTTAAACCATACAGTGTTCCCTTGATATGTTTGCATCTTGATATGCTGCTTCTTGGTCTAGATAATAGGTTTCATATGAACATAATTAAATATTCAGTGATTCTCATTCTTCCCATTGTTAGCCCTATAATTTGTTATGCTCCACGCTCTCAGATGCCTTTGAAGATGAATTCTTTACTAGTTAACTTAAACGAAATGTTTCAGAAGGAGTATAGAATGTTGTTGTTGTTGTTATTATGTGCCATCGAGTCGTTTGCGACTCATAGTGACCCTATGTACAAGAGCTCTAAACGCTGTTCTATCTTGTGCCAATCTAGCCATCTCAAACGCACTTATTCCCACCACTCCAGTCACAGAATGGATCCATCTCATTGAAGGTCCTCCTCTCTTTCGCCGCCCCTTCACTCTGCCAAACGTGATGTCTCTCTCCAAGGACCAATCCCTCCTTGCAACATGCCCAAAGTATGTCAGACGAAGCTTCAGAATCCTTGACTCCAAGGAACATTCTGGCTTCACCTTTTCTAGGACAAACCTGTTTATTCTCCTGGCAGTCCAAGGTATATTCAACACTCTTCTCCAACACCACAGCTCAAAGGAATCAATTCTCTTTCTGTCAACCCTATTCACTGTCCAACTCTCTGATGCATAGCACGTAATTGCGAAGACTATAGCCAGGATCAGGTGCACCTTAGTCTCCAGCCTGACATCGTTGCTCTTGAGCACTCTTGAGAGGTCCTTCACAGCTGACTTTCCCAATGCAATTAGTCTCTTGATTTCCTGGCTGCTGTTACCAAGAATGTTGATTGTGGAGCCAACCAAACTAAAACTGTTAACTATCTCAGTCTCTTCACCATCCATACTGATGCTGCCAATTGGCCCAATGGTGAGAATATTTGTTTTCTTGATGTTGAGCTTCAATCCATATAGGAGGCTGCAGTCCTTGACCTTCTGCAGCAAGTGCTTCAGGTCCTCCTCAGTTTCAGCAAGCAGGGTTGTGTCATCTGCATAACACAGTTTGTTGATGACTCTTCCACCAATGCTGATGCCACATTCCTCTTGTACAACCCAGCGTCTCAACGATCTGTTCTGCATACAGATTGAAAAGGTATGGAGACAGAATACATCCCTGATGAACCCCCTTCTTGATTTTGAACCGTGTAGTGTCTCCTTGCTCTGTTCTGTCAACTGCCTAAGTATAAGAATACTTAATATAATTTAAGAAGACTTCAAGAGATATTTTTTATTTCCAATTTAAAGATTATTTTAGAGAAGCAGTTTCAGGGATTTCTCCCATCCTGTGTGGCTCCAGAAAAAGGGGATTTCACAAGATCTCAAAATTTTGTTCTGTAG